TGTCTTTTGGGCAACCCGGACAGGCAACAAGAACGGCCAGCAAACAAAGAAAAGAACGAGGCTAAATTCCCATCCCCCCTTCCTCATACATAGCCAAATCCAATGGTCTCCATGGTTGAGACAAGCAATTCCACACAAAATGACAACCCGGCCACTGAGCCGGTTGTCCCCAAGACCGAGCCGTTGCCTGAAGGCTCGATCAGCTCGGCGGTGTCAACACCTGAGGCCGAGGGGGAGATTCTGATGCAAGATGTGACCCAGACTCAGAAGCGCAAAGGAGGAAGAAAACCAGTACGTAAGAGAACTCTTCGAGGGTGGCTGTCCTCAACTCCTGTTTTTTATTGTTTTACCCCGGATCCAGATCGACCGACCCTTTTGGCTTTTTATACCTCGTGGTGGTCGTTGCTTGTTTTTCTCTTATCTCATTTCTATTACCTTTATCTATCTATCATCACATCCATCACGTCTTTTGGTGTTCATCAAGCATCATCACTGGCTGTGCTGTTGGTGCCTATCGCTGCTCCTCCCCCAGTGATTTGTCCCTGCGTGCCAGTCCGGGGCCCCGCACTGCGTTTATTATTATCATTTATCATTGCGATTGTTCATCCCTTATCGTCCTGTCATATCCCTCCATTCTTGCTGTCCCCTTGACTACTTATCTCATCTGCACCTTACTACTCCGCCCTTCCCCCTCTTCAGCCTTTATCGATCTTGTTATCTATCTGGACCCTTGATCCCATCCCTTCCCCGGCATGAAGCTAACAGCCGCCGTCAGATCTATGCTACCTCGGAGGAGCGGAAGCAACGCAACCGCCAGGCCCAGGCCGCCTTCCGTGAGCGTCGCACAGAGTACATCCGCCAGCTCGAGTCCACCATTAAGCGCAATGAAGACTCCCTGCAGACACTTCAGCAGAATCATCGTAGCGCCGCTGATGAATGCTTGATGCTGCGCTACAAGAACTCCTTGCTCGAACGTATCTTGCTCGAAAAAGGTTGGTCTCCCCCGTTCGCATACCCAACTGCAAGCCTGCAAGCCCCCTTCCTGATAAGCGCCCTCGGGGCGATCCTTGTCCCATACGTGAGATACTGACCGACCGTAGGAATCGATGTGCAAGCAGAGCTGCGACTCAAGGCCGGGGCCCCTGGCGCGGGCGCCGCTAAGCCCACCCCAATGGCAGCGAAGCCTCCTTCCACCCTGGAACGTGCTGCCGTGAACCGAACCTCGGCTCAACGGCATCCTGGCATCGCTCCCAAGGAGCCCTTCGGCATGGCTCAACATCGCGATGGTGCGTATGGTATCCCGTCGCCACAGTTCCAGGCCACGCCTCCGTCCCATGTCTCCTCTCCGTCCCACGCCAAGTCCCCCGGTTTCCCCTTCCAGGGAGCCATGTCGCCGGTTGGGGTGGATCCCCAAGCCCAGCAGCGCTCGCAGATGCTGTCGCACTCGCGAAATATCAGCCAAACCTCGCCGCCGATGAGCATCGGCCAGCCGGAGTCGACCGACCCAAAGGCCGCCATACCGGGTGGTACGAATCCCCGAGCTCCCCGCGTCCCCTCCGCGTACTACCCATCGCCATTCCAGAAGCACTATGACCAACTGGGTAAGCTAACTCCATTGTCGCATTGTTGTTTTCTTCCAGGTCCGTGGTGGTATTGAACCCTTGGTTAATGTCCGCATAGAACAGGAGTACGATGCCCAGGCCGATATGATTGACGAGGAACATGATTCCACCGTGGGTGCCTCACCCTACGTCTCCGGCTACAACAATGCCGCATCTGTGCCGGCGGGCTCTCACCCCATGGGGGCTCATAATCTCAACCAATATACCCAACATGCGGGAGAGGGAGCCAATGGCGCATACAATAATGCGAATCACCTCATGGGGAACTATGAACCTATGCTGGATGCCGATCCATTTGGATTGAGTGCTAGCATGCATTTCCAGACTCCTTTCAGTTACGAGCAGAATAATACCCGCCATTAACCCGTTTGTTTCTTGTTTAGTAATCTCACATCCGGCACTGACTTCTCCTTTTCGGTTCGAGGGATACCACGGTCGGAAGAGAGAGACACGCTTGACGGATTTTCCTTCATAGCTTTCTTCTATGACTGGAAGACAAAAGTTGAAACTTTGAAGCATTGCCTGGCGTTTGCGGTTGATACCATTTGTTTATATTGGTTCGCTTGCTGTTCTGCTGTTGCTGTGGCGCTTTTGATTGATTGACGCCTTTGAAACTGGAAAAAAAGCGGTTGGCTATTTGTTCCTTTGAGCGCGGAATGAGCGGAGGAAAGAAGGGTCAAAAGGGAAAGTAAAAAGAAAGGTCGCGATAAAAGTTGGGACATGGTTCTTTGTGTACATGCATGACTGGTATAATGGGCCCGAGGGCGACTGCGGTGCAGTTCGAATTGGGTCGCACTTCTTACTCTCAGCTCTTGCGGACATAGCTATATGATGTTTTTCTTTCCTTGCTATGGAGATGGTGATGATTTGGGCTGCAGTGAAACGGTGGCTTGCATGTGTATCTCTTGCTGATCTGGGTTATGTTGCATCCCTGCGGCATTGCATTCTATTCTATTCATCTTCATGAATCATTTTATCACGTCTTCGCTTCTACTTACATTCCTCGGTTCCTTCTACTGCTACTTTTTCTTGGAGATACTACTATGTGGGAAAAATTCCCTCTTGGGAGAGCTTTGAGAGCTAGGGGAAGGTATCTACTCGAATAGGGAAGTAACTGGAGTGGCAGGTGACCAGCTAGTACGGAGCTCGGCAATTGGGGGAAAGTTACGACGGCTGGGGGAACGAGAGAGGAAGAAAGAGGATGGAGAATGGAGTAGTGACGTATGACAAAGGAGGGGAATGGAATTGGGATGGCAGTGATCTACAGATCACCCCAAGAATGCTGTAGGGGAAGAGGAGTAAAGAAAAAGCAACATCCAACCATGCTACATACTGTCGAGCGTAAGCCGAACTGAAGGCAGCGATGCAGAGCATCATCTCAGCGTCATCCGCTGGTGTTTTACCCTAAGCCCTAGCTGCTGTAGACCAATCACAGGTCGCATTCCCGGATTCGCTTAGCAGCAATTCGCACCTTACCGGATCGGGCGAGTGCAACCACAAACGTCGCCTCCATCCACCGTCCAGTCAACCCCCTTCACTCCAACCACTATCCTATCCCATCCCCCCTAAACAAAGGAGAGGTCAGATACCGTTCGTCGTCGAGGTTCCTGCCTGTGTCGACTCTCCCCGCCCGCTCCGTCGGACCGAATTGTTGCGATAAGAGAGAAGCCTTCCCCGGAAGGCCCCGCATAAAACCAGGCGTCATGGCGGAGATCCGGTCCAAGGTGCGTTGCTTCTGAAAAGAGAATGGCTCTCGTTTTCTCTCCGTCTGTTGCTGTGCGAGGGTGATGGAAATCCGCGATTTGGGGGAAGGAATGATTTACGGGCTGGATTGATGGTAGAATGCTGGGATTGGGTTGGGAGCGCAGTTGCATTGCAACGAGCGGGGTTTGGGGGACGGCAGGAATATTGCACAAATCTATCCTGCTGCTCACCACTTCGCACCATCACCACCACCACAGATGAGACGGGAGAGAAAGCGACAGTTTCAAACATCAAGGAATGCGATGGCTAACATATCATCTACTATAACAGAACCTCTACGAGCTTCTTGGTAATTCTCGCCCTTCCCTTGTCTACCTACCTACCTACCTACCATACCTGAGTCCCATCCTGCACTTTGCACTACCTATCGTGTTTTGACTTGCCTTGGTCTCTCTTTTCGCATGTCGTCGATCCATCTACACTTCGAATTCGTGAAGGAATTACATCATTTTCTAACCTCGAGCGTGCTTTTGCTCGCGCTGCGCAACTACAGGCAATGACCCTGAACTCGACCCCAACAGAGCTCCCGAGCCCCCTACGAAAGCCGTAGACAGGCCCGCTCCCCGTGTTGGCAAGCGGGACGCTCCCAAGGAGGCCCCTGCCCAGCCCCGTGAGAACAACAACTCTCGCCGTGGTGGCCGTGCCACTGGCAACGAGGCCGGTATGTATTCCCAACTACATTGGGCTCCGGCCCCCTGGCAAGTCCATTCCGACTGATTTCGATTACGTTCAGCTTTCTGTGACCGCAACGCCGGCAGAAACAACAACCGTGAGAAGCCCACCGATGAGAAGGACGCCCAACGGCGCGGATTCCGCGCCCGTGAGGACCGTGGTGAGCGTGTCCGCCACGACCGCCAGTCCCGCACCGGCCAGACGTAAGCCTTTCCCTCTATACGTTTTGTCTTTATGAAGATGGGCAAAAAAGGAAGTTTTGGGACTCGATCAAAACTGACGAACTGGATAGCGACACCCGCAAGCAGGTGAACCAGGGCTGGGGTAACCAGAGCGGCGAGAAGACCTGGGACGACGAGAAGGCCGGCGAGAACATTGCTCAGACCGATGAGACCGAGCCCCAGACCCCCGGCGAGGAGAAGCCCGAGGAGGCTGCCGACAAGTCCAAGTCCTACGCCGAGTACCTTGCCGAGAAGGCCGCCCAGGGTGACCTGAGCGCCAAGCCCGTCCGTGCTCCCAACGAGGGCACCAAGCTCGACAAGAAGTGGGCCGCCGCCAAGGAGCTCAAGCGTTCCGAGGAGGAGGATGCCTACATCAAGGGCAAGGAGGACAAGGCCAAGCGCGAGAAGCAGCGCAAGGAGAAGAACATCCTCGAGGTCGACATGCGCTTCGTTGAGGCTCCCCGCACTGGTGGCCCTGGTCCCCGTGGCCGTGGTGGCCGTGGTGGTCCCCGTGGTGGCCGTGGCGGCCGTGGCAACGGTCCCCGCTCCGAGCGCCCCGCTGCCGCTGCTGCTGCTCCCACTGTCGCCGTTGACGAGAAGAACTTCCCCAGCCTTGGCGGCAAATAAATGCAGTTTTTTCCCTCATAAGCTTGCATTTATAGGCTAGCATCCATGCATGCATGCCCATGCTTCCCCCACACCTTTTTTCTTTTCTTTCTACGCATGATCCTCACTACCATAAACCCTCCCTCCCCAACACCCCTTTTTTTCTCGCTAGCAACTTAGGTAGTCGAAATCCAGGGATCCAAATGAGATGAGAACGAAAATGAAAGTTTTGTGTGTGTGCATGAGAGAAGTGAGAGAAAAGAGTGCGTCTTGTGTGTGCTTGCATGTGTGTATGAACTTGAATCTCAAATGTGAAAACAAAAAACGACCAAGGGAAAACAGACAAAATAGGGAAAGGGTGAAACATAAAAGGAACAGAAGGGAAAGAGAAAAAAAGACACCAAAAAAATCCAAAGGTTCATCTGTGCAATATGCCTCTTTTTATCTATCTATGGCTTTATGGGCCCTTTTCCACATATTTCAGTTTTATCGTACAGTTGTTTCTATGGAATGATGGAATAATTATTTCTTTCTTCTCCCTGGCTCTGTCCTTGTCCATATTTCTGTATCTCTCCCCCCCCCCGCCCATGTCCATTTCTAAATAATTCTGTAAAAATAAAGGTGGATGGATTACCACATCATGTAATCTTGTTGTTCTAAATGTTCATGTTCATGTCAATGTTCGACAATAATACTAAATGACTTGAAAGCCTCATCCTGCTCTGCTGGTACTACACCCCCCCTCCTCCCACCTTTGGGTAAATAAACTAGTCGATTTGAAAGATACTACTACCAATGGTAACTAGATAATACTCAGATAACATTCTATATCAAGTACTTAGTGCAGATAACTCTGAATCGATGTCCCCAATGATTACACTATACTATGCTATATACTCCTACAGGTAGATCTGATAATACTATCTATCTATAACTAAGCAACAGACAGATTACTAGTAAATTGTTGGAAGTAGGTAGATAGTAGAACCTCCTACTTAGTTACTATCTAGCTCCCCTCTGCAGCTCTGCTTAAGTATATGATTCAATCATAGTAGTGATTACTAGTAAGGAAGTGTAATGACTTCTAGATTGCTAGGTTCTTCATCCCCACAGTTAAATGTATACTCTTACTACTGCTCTGCTCACACCACACTTTCAATGCTATTTGATCATACAATGTTGGGATTATGTGTCTAGTACTTACTACTACTTACTATTATAACTTACCCAGCCCCATAGCATGCTATTATCTACCGCAATTCTGGGTCATTAGACAGATAGAGATATATAAATGAATGAACTGAACTGAACTGTCTTAATATCTCCGACTTCCTAGTACTTTATCCTATCTTCCACCGACCGCATACCCCTTACTCAATCAACCATCAGCCTTCCCCCCCATAAAGAAAGCTAAAGCTCTCCGTGTTACTGCCTATTGACTATCGGCACTGTCGATGGTGAAACTATTCTTTTAGGTGCAAGCCCCTAGAGTAATTCATAGGGAGGGGGCGGGGTTTATTCCTTAGTTGTTGGGATGATTGCTACCTGTCGATTAGACAGTCTTACTTATAACAAACAACATTATATCAGTTCGCTTCAATTCGATTCTTATCAGACATCAACGTCAACATCAGCATAAATCAAAAGGGGACACCTGTACAAAAATGGTATCAAGTCGGTTCCTTGCTCCCCTAAATTCAACCAGTCCATTCCCGTGTGGTACAAGCAAATCAAATCGCCAAGCGCAAACCAGGAAGACAAAAAGAAGGAAAGTTAAGCAAAGCAAAATAAATAAGGATACCAAAAAAGAAGAAAAGGAGGCCCAAGTCTTACAAAAAATATGAAAACGCCAACCTCTTTTGCCTTGGTTCCCAATACCTTATGCACAGTCTCAGAAATGAATAAAAAATAAGCGAGGGCTTGAAAAGAAGAAAAAGAACAGAATAATCCCAATGTATAATCGTGGAGGTTCGTGGGGAGCGCCATGCGCTGTCCAAATCCGATAGAAGGTATAAGAACGGTAAGGTTTGAAGAAAAAGGGTAAAGATGAAAGAATAGCCCTGCGGCATATTGTAGTTAGAATGAAAGGAAAAAGAAGGTAAAGCAAATCAGCTACTTCCCCGGGCGTTCTGCATCATGTTTTGTTGCTGTTGCTGCTGCTGATGTTGCTGCTGCATCACCTGAGCTTGAACTTGAGCAACCTGGTTGGCACGTTGCTGAATCAGCTCGCGCTCTCGTCGAACAATGTCATGAACCCAGGCTTTGGCATTCTGTTCCAGTCCCGTGGTGTACTGTCGTTGTATATGTGGTGGGAACTGCGACGGTGAACCGTACTGTGGCATCAATCGAGCCGCCATTTCTTGCCTAAGCCGTACTAATCGCTGAGTGAATAATTGCTGGTAGCGCTGTGGAGTGATGACGTTCTGTGCCAAATTTACTCCTTGCATATTTTGTGGCAGATGACCTCCATTGGCCTGAGCCGCTGCCATTAGCATTTGCTGCTGTTGAGGGTTCATATGTGGGCTGTTTTGGTGTACCTGTCCCTGTTGATTCTGTGATTGCTGGCCTTGCTGCTGTTGCGGTTGCTGCTGCTGTTGCTGTTGCTGTTGCTGCTGCTGAGCCATGTGCATCTGCGCGAGCTGCGCACGCATCAACTGAGCCTGATAGGCTTGTGGATTCGGGAACTTGGGCTGTGCCTGGAAATTCTGCTGCTGGGCTTGTAGCATCTGCTGCTGATGGGCTTGAATATTCTGCTGCGCATGTGCGTTGGCCTGCATCTGAGCTACTTGCTTGGGCGAGAACTGATTCTGTACCATGTGCCCTTGCTGGGCGAGAAGTTGTTGCCTCTGCTGCAATAGCATCTGCTGTTGCTGTTGAGTTGTAAGGCCCATTCCGCCTCCCATTTGTGGTGTTCCCATCATGGTAGCCTGGTTCATCACCGGTGTTGGGGCCATTGTCGTGTGACTCGGGCTGGCGTGGCTCATACGCTGTGTTGGTGTTACATTGCGCATGATAGGTGTAGCATGAGACATTGCTGGCGTTCCTTGAGTCATCTGTGGTGTCCCATGTCGGCTCTGTCCCTGTTGGCTTCTGGAAGGTGCCATCGGATGGCTCATAACTGTAGGATGGGCGTGCTGCAATGCAGATGGCGGCCTCGGGGGGCTGCCTGCTCCCTGCATAGAAGGCGTCATGCTCATAGGAACACTTGCTTGTGCGGCCATTGTGTTGCCAACAACAGGCGAAGAGGTGTTGTGGGGTGTCTGATTACGGACCACCGGCGAAGACTGCGGCGCTTGGCTAACCCCGTTAGTTTGCGCCATGACATGCCGATTCTGCTGCTGCTGTTGTTGTTGTTGTTGCTGCTGCGCCGCAAGTTGCGCCTGAGCCTGCGCGGCAAAGTGCTGTCTACGAGCCTCTTCCTTAGCGTGCTCTTCATTCTGTCGCTGCTCCAGAAGGCGACGTTTCTCCCTCTCCTGCTCTTGCTGTTGTCGTTTAGCCAACTCCTGTTTCATCTTGACTTCATGTTCGCGCTTGGCCTTCTCCTCATGCTGCATACGGATATTCTCAAGCGTCTTGAACCTTGAGAATCGAGGCTCAAATGGTGCACCACCACCCGTATCATCCACGACCGCGGATTTCGGCCCTCCAGCACCACCGGAGGAGGTAGGCTCCAGACGCTCATCCATGATGAGCATGAATCTCTCTTCCTCGGCAGCCAGCGCCTCGTCAGCAGCGAGTTCAGCCACGGTACGTTTCCTCCTCTTTGGTGAGGGTGGCGGATCGCGGTGGAGCGGGCTCTCCATGATCTTCAGCAGATCTTGCACAGCGTCGAAACTGTTGACAGGGTCCAAGAAGAGAGGTGGAGCCAGTGCTCTTGTCAATCTCGCTTCACATTCCAGAAACTCCTGAGGTTCAACCAACATTCTCTGTCGTTTTGCAGGATGTCCACGCTCAGTCTGATTGGATGACCCTCCTGGAGATGGTGGAGCTGTAGACGAGGACTGCTGAGGACGCGAGGCAGCATTTGATGCCGACTGTTTCGCCGCTTTGGGATCGGGTGTAGTGGCAAGTAAAGTGAGTTCCGCTTGCAAGGAACGTGGAGTTGGGTGGAGCACGGTAGTGAAAACTCGGGGTTTTGGAGGCTGCTTGGGTTGAGCGGAGTTCGATGTAGCTTCCTCTGCACGATTCTCCGAGTCGCCGGACTGCTCGCCGTTGGTTTTCGTATCGGGTTGATTTCCGGTTGGGGTTTCCTTGGCGGTCGGCTTATCGGAGTTTAATTGGGATTGCTTTGGGTAGGGCACATAAGCCGATGGTGTAACATGCTCGTTATAGTTATGAATCGAGAACGGGGTGTTATTCTCGTTGGAAGTCGGCGCAGTCGACTTCCTGGCCTGGGCTGACACCGACTTGTGATCGACCACGCGAACGATGAGGCAGCCTGTGAATTACAGAGGTTAGCCAAGTCCACCAGATAGAGGTGAAGTTGAGGCATGTGGAAGCGTGCCTTCATAGAATCGGACATTAGCCCGCAACAGCTCCTCCATCATATCATGGGGAACGGTTCCGGCACGAATATGTTCGATGATGACCTTCATCTCGGAATTATAAGGGAAGCTTCCATCTTGTTGCTCGAAGCGGAAATGTGTTGGGTGAAGGTGGAGGATAAGCGAGGGCGGGCATTTGGAGAACTTCTTGAGGATGTAAGACGACGTTTTGACTATGACGCACCCGATGGTCAGTACGCAGGGGCTCCGCATGTGGATCGGGTTGAGAGCTTACCATATGGCTCGGGACACCTATTCCCTGCGCGACGATCATTGTCAATGGATAAGGACCTTAACAATGGTTTTTGTAACCGCGCAGCCTGGTCACCGGGCTTTTGCGCTTCCTTCTTAGGTCGATTCTGAGTAGCCTTGTTCGAGCCGGCAGCCGCATTAGCCGCGCCATTGACGCCATTTGACGTCGGGCCGCCGGCGGAGCTTGCTGAAGCCGGTTGGTTCGAACCGGGCAGACGTTTCGCGGAGGAGGGAGGAGAAGAAGAGGAGGATTGTTGAGACTTGACTCCGTTCACTCCGGTCTGGACGAAAGGCGGGGGCGGTCGCTTCATCTTAGGGGTATGCGAGGTCGGCTTCGAAATTGCGGTCGCCATAGTCTCGGAGATGAACCGCGGCGCGATTATGGTCGCAAGCTGATAAATGCGACCTTGGGGGAACCGGATCCAGGAAGGATGAGGACAGGGCCGTGAGTCGTGGTTGATGATACAGCCGGAGCGCGAGACATGTGGGGAGCGGAGATCGGGGGCGGCACGACAACGAACTGGCCCGATTCAATGCGAACACTTGCACAAAGCGCGGGTCGCTACAGACAAAGGGTATGAAAGTCCATCGAACAGACACCTGCAAGGAAGGCAGGGGAGGCTCGGAGCGAGTGGGAAGAGTCGGTCGACGGTCGGTTGTGGCTCTGCAAAGGGAGTTTGTATGATGCCAAGCCGCGGGCGACGTGAAGGAGGTCGGGGTCACCTGACTACCGCTTTGGGTTTAGTGCCGCGCGCCTGCGATATGGAGTATTCCAGATATTATATCTTCTATTCATCTGTATGACAGGCTACTGAAGAAGATTTGTATTCCTTCCACTCTGAAAAATTAGAAATCATTCTAGTGATGGCTAACATCTAATTTGTCATTCTCGATACATAACTGAAGACCAACTACTACGGTGTTATTCAAAATCTAGGCAATTTGATTGAAACTAAGTACAAAAAGGCAATCTGTAGAGAGTATAGTCATCATAATACCGTAGTAGTGGCTCTTGGGGCTCTGTGGAGAGCATCTTGCGGTTAGCGACTCAGGGGTGCCCTTGGGCTTTGGGGGTCTTAGCAGGCTGATGATGGACGAGACAAACACACCAACGTGGCTTTGTACTTGTCACTCATATGAAACGTGAAATCTCGCGAAAGCCCACATTATCTATGACTATATCTCGCTCGGCTCCAGTAGGTTGCCGATCAAACATAGCCCTGAATGGGATCACAAGAGGCTGTCCGATTATCGACGTTGGCGTAATGACTACCTCCTGAATAGAAAATGCGAGCTGCATATTTGCGGGCTGCTGGACTAGAGGTGGCATTTGGTCGGGTTGCTGGCGTAATTGGTCGATAAGTTGTCTAGTAGTACCCGGTCTACCTATGTTGGGAGGGGCAAGTTGCCATTTCTCAATGCGTAATTCTCTGCTCCTGGATTTGATCGAGACAAGAAGTACAATTCTAGTGTCTCCAGAAGAATTCTGAAACCACCAGGTTGCGTCGCGCCGGAGCTTTGCCATAGATTCTGAGACACCAGTTTCGATAACAAGTGTCGGCCATCCATTTATCTGGCCAAAAGAAATCGGGCGGCTCGAAGGATAAAAGCACTCGTCAGGTTGCTTGCCGTGTGTCGAAACAGTACCAGGGTTCGTGGTTGTTCTCCCCCAGAAAACTTCTGTTCGTGGTGTCCCCATTTGAGCTCTCTGGTCTTCGATGTAACGCATTATTTCTGTCGTAGTGAACTCATGTGAAGCAGATGGCACGACCTTAAAGAGCCCTGTATTTGCTTCCCACATGAACCGAACTCCAATATCGGGCAGTATGTCATCCGCTTCGCTCAGCCTGTCAATGGCCGTTTGAGGCATGCCCATGAGGACTAACCATTGGTTTCCATCCCCTCCATTCTGCTCCAGTTCGGTGTAAATGGCCTTCAGCGCATTTTGTAACCGTTTCGAAGTTGAGCATGACTGATATGAGCGCAGTTGACAGGAGGGTGGCAAATCAGCCAGAATATTGTATGGTGCGCTAATTCCGTTGATAACCGGATCATCTGATGTGCTATGACGGGAAAGACCTGGAAGTGGCTCCGAAAAGATGTCAGACTTCAAGGAAGCCATGATTGAGAATGATTATCAGGATGTATGGACTGGATATGGAGTAGATAGATATGGGACAATTGGGAGAGGAGTGTGAGTATGAGTTTATGAATTAAGCCCGTGAAGATTATGTATGAGAGATAGGAGGGAATGAAGGTGTGTAGGAAGAGTTTGAAAGATTGTAAAGAAAGTGAATATTATAAGTAACCTGAGGCAGAGATATGGGAAGTGAATGAATAGCCAAAAAAAGGAAGAAAAGGTTTTGGAAGCATAATTATAACATATAAAGCATGCAAACTAGAAAAGTGTATAGGGGTGCAGGTAGTAATGAAGTACAAATATATAACATGGGGATTTTCATTTCACATACCATCTTCCATTGCTGAGTTATTGGGAATACACAGCTTATTCGGTTGGAACTGAATGTGTGGTGTTGGCTGCGGAAATTAGGTGGTGGATGAGTCGTTTAAGTACTACGCACCATGGCTATCAACACATGAGTATCATACATACATCATGTACGGGATAAGTATTGACCACCTATGACAAAATCTATACAGAGTTTATACTCCTGAGTACGTTAACGCGTAGACTCACCGCTATGTGCAAAGGCTCATTTCATTCCAATATATCGCTTCCGTAGAAGCTAAGTAGACCATGCTTCGCGGTCATCATGCAATCAATATTCACACAGGGGTAAAGAACATGAAGAGTAAATCCTCTTCATCTCATCAAGACAGGGGAATCAATAACAAGAAAAGAGAAGGTTCATCAAAATAACATAAGGCACACCTATACGCAAGGCAACCGAGAGGTTTAGCCAACGCTGAGACACCAACATCCCCAATGGCGCCGGACGGCTGGACTCTGCTCTAGTCGTGCCCAGACACCCTTCGCCTCCAATCATCACCAATGCGGTGTACATCGACCACATTAATTCGCTTGCCAATGCCTGTCACACCCTCCTTCTGCCACCATTTCTCGCCCTTGTCTGCAAGAGCAGACTCATCGTCGCTGTCGACAAGACCACCGTGACCAATTTCGCCTCCGACGACGATGACTGTTTCCCGAACCCAGCCAGAGAAGAGCTTTACATGCTCTCCTGCTTCCCCGGTAAGGGACTCTTGAACATACACTACCTCAGGAGAAAGGTGGCGAAGAAGATGCACAAACCCTGTCGCGGTGCTGAAGGGCATGATGGTATTCTCCTTCTCCACAAGTGCCTGCGCCTGGGTGTACATCGTCTTGAACAGTGGTGTAGAGCCCTCTTCTTCATCGACCTGGCGAGATTCCGAGGGCGACTCACCCTCGGGAAGCTCACCAGACGCAACAGCTTCTTCGGGGGCGATGTTGGAATAAGAAGAGGCAACAGACAAGTCCGGCTGAGAGGAGCTTCCCTGCTTCGGGGCGTGCTTGAGACCGGGGGCATAGATCATGATGAAGACCCTAGCCGTATCTAGGTTGACATGTTCGGGGAGATGAGAAAGGATAGACTACGTAGAAAACAGAAACTCATTAGCATAAACCGCTTTGGCACATACCGAACCATCGAGACTTACCACATGCTGAGAAACGATATCCTCCGGATCCACCTGCGCAGACTCCGACGAGACCACAATCGCAACAGTCCTCTTCTTCGTAGCAGACACTGGGCCACCAACCCCAACATCACGAACCGGCAACGCCCCCGTCATAGTCGGCGCAGACTGTTCCGCGCGCTGAGCTCTCGAAGCGACCTCCTCCGACCAGCGAGAATGATCCTCAAAGTCGCCCCTATCTTCCTCACGAATCGAGGTCAGCGCACCACCCACGAAAGCTCCCGCGGCAGCGACTCCCGCAGCAACCTTCTTGCTAGCGCCATCGAAGATCTGCTGAGGACTAGGAGTGCGGCGCAGCGCACCCTGCATGCGCGCCATCATGCTAGCATCATCCCCTGGTATATCCGTGGCGGTTGAACGGGCGTAATCGTCCGCATATTCGCCATGAGGGTATCCCTCGGGGGCGGGGAAGCGGTCATCGTGCGGAGGGGGGATAGTAGTATCGCGGTCGTTATTGTTATTGTTATTATTATCGTCATCGTCCTCGCTGCGTTCGCTCCAGATCCAGGCTGCAATGCTAACAGTTGCGATGCCCACGGTAACAGCGAGAGGCACCCAATATCCCAGGACGGTCCTATTACCAGTGGAGCTGAAGCCGGCGCCGGCTCCGACCCGCCGGCGGCGAGCATCCTGGGAGTAAGGAAAGGACATCGCGATCACACTGAACTTGGGGCTTAATAGTGGCGCATAGACTGGGATGGGTCGCGGTGAGCTGCAAGTCACATCGCAAGTCTCTGTCTTAGGGAGGGGAGAGCGGAGGGGGCTGGGGAGGTGTGTGGTAGTAATGATGGGGATAAGAAAGGAGGAGCTAAGTCCTAGTAACTAAGTAGTAGTAGCTGCTACTTTGCCGCGCGGGCTGGGCTGGCCTCGGACGAACCGAGAAACATGTGGCTGGTGATATGATAATAGTTTCCCGCTGATTATTGGTACCGCGGGTTGCTTTTTCTGCCAGGAGCAACCAATGGTTTCCCTTACGGTATGGTACGGAACTGCCCGGGGTAGACTACTTCTCTCTTCTTCCTCGGCCCCATGTTTTATGCTGCTTACTCCCTGTAGTTATGCAGTGCCCGCATAAGCCGATTCAGCTTGCCGTCGGCACGTGGTTCTGGGGTAGTTGTATATCACACGACTAGTATTGAATGTTATAGAACAAGGTCTTGATGTGCAATTGTTTCGCTATTCGCTAAAAGTCAGAAGAATTCCGTGAATGCGAAAAAAAAATCACGTCATAAAAACTGAACCTAATGACTCCCTCCTTGCCATTCACTCCGTATCCCCCAGGAAGCAATAACCCAATATCCGAAATAACCCCATCAGATAGCAAGCAAAGAAAAGTATGGCCGAAAAGAACTACGTGTACATATGCGCAGAAGAATGGAAAAGAAAAGAACAGTTTGATGAAGCATGAAAAACAGACTTGAAGCGAATGTAAATGAACCCAAAGAGAAGCATAAATATCATGAAATCGTGAGTCGAAGGACAAGGTCGCATTTCTCTCTTGCTGCACAAACGATCATCCCCTTCAAAACATCAAGTTCGACTCCAAAGGTATTTCAGATTGTTCTTCGGGCAGCAAAAAGTCGAATCCATCAAATAAACTGTGTTGAAATCCAAACCCAAATCCATATTCATTCGGGTTGCTTTCTTCTAACTCTGGAGTCTTTGTGAGTTGCCGCGCGGCCAGCTGCTCTACAGTATACTGATCCAAAGTAGCTGTAAATAGATCCGTATTGCAGTCATTCTCCGTTCCAATATTGAAAGTTAGCGAGTCTGTATCTTCCGCATCCTTCCCACCGGGGGAGCCAACTTGGAGCTCATGTTCGGGATTTTCTGCGGGTGAGAGTGATCGAGGTCTGATTGCAGCAGCATCATACGTGGGTTCAATAGAGGGATACATCTTGAGGCTATTCTCAAGCACGAGCAAGGAGGGATCGACGGTTGTGCATCTGATAGGTGGAGTATCACTAGTATTGCACACAGGCGATCTTTGATTGTTATCGTTCTCCGAAGCCACTACGGGGCTGCCAGCGGAGGAAGCTGCAGACTCGGAACGAGCGTTAGCTGCGTTCTTGAAAGACGATTCCGATGCATCTTCCATAGACCAAGTTTCATCATCGTCGCAAGATGCAGAAGTACCATTGGCGAGCGAAGTGGGTTTGTAGGGCTTCTCCGAATCTCTGCTTCGATTAACTACTCTCGCAGATATCCTTTCAGGAGTTGAAGGTGTCGGTGAACCAAGGTCTGGTGATACATTTCTCACCATTGGCCCGGGTAGTCTGAGTTGGCGCATCAGGTCGGCAATATGGTCGTCTTGCCTTGACCAGCTACCCTCCCCCTGCCACACAGTTAGTGATGGAACCATCTGAATATATGAGTTTGGGGATACCGAAATAGGCTCGACAACGAACGGATCATCTAGGGCCACGGAGGGGTCCATCCTCACAAAGGGCAGAGACACCTGGGAGGTCTGGACGTTCTGCATAGCCGTAGTGGTATTGTTCTGGGTACCTACCTGCTGTATGATATCCTCATGGCAGGGACTCTGGCTCACGCGGGAAGAGAGGCTCTGATCTGAAGAAGCAGTCCGGGCTGTATCGAAAGAAGACTGTGTCGAATCAACACTAGAATCTGGTTTTCTCATAGGTGTCTGTACCAGATTGGATGAAGCCTGTGATCTCAGGGAAGATCTCTGTGCCGAATCATAAGAGCTCTGCACTGGCTTAGCAACCGGCTGCGCCATTGGTGGCATTGACACGTAATAGTACGGACAGATTGGCATATAATTTGTCCCAGACCAATTGAGGAGCTCGTAGTTGTCTGGCTCCGACCGCTTCACCTCAGCTAGAGCGACATCGAAGAGATAACCAGGCCTAGTCCAGAAGTACAACTCGCCCAATGTGTTCCTCCACGATTCCATCATCAATGCATGCAAATATGGGTCGGGTGCCAAAAGCTGAGCATCAGGGGTAGGCGGCTGTAGCCATCTTAGATGGTCACCTCGGGCATAAAATCGAATAACCCCGTGCATGAATCCGCCATCGTTAACGGGGATATCGATAATCTTTGAGAGGGCAGTGGCAGTCATCAGAACGGACTTTCGTGCCTCTTGGATCTTGCTTGGCGGATCAAGACAGACAGAGCAGTCGTAGCCGTGTAATGCAGCTGTAGGGCGGAGGATAGTCCCAGGGGATGCCCAAGGAGGTATGGGGGTGTTCCTCCATTCAGGGTAGAAGTGATTGCACGCGAACCAGTGAACAACCAATTGGGTCATGTTGACTTGGTGTTGCTAACACTGGGTTGAAGCACACGAGGGGATCTGGTTGATGAGAAGTATCCCAGGGGAAGTCAAGATCGGATGGAAGAGATGAAGTAGACTGAAAATGCGTCTAGAAGAAGTTTTCATCTCTGCATGGAGTAGGAATCCCAAAGCTGGTGGGAAACAAAGAAGGGCATCTTGTGTTTATCGACGTAGTGAAGACGAGGGTCTTCGACGCAGTGAAGGAACAAAACAGACAATGACCATATGGACATCGAGGCAAATGGGCAGTTTGAGTAGTAGGCAAACATGTTGCTGTTATTGCTGCTGCTGCTGCTGTTATTGCTGCTGTTATTGCTGCTGTTATTGCTGCTGTTATTGCTGCTGCTGCTGATAATGGGTAATACCCTCGAAAATCATCTGAGAGATTGAAAGGTGGGTAAAATCGGTGGATGAATAGTAAGACAGAATGTATAACTAGAATATAGTACTATCAAGTAACATCATATTGGCTAGTGGCTTCTAGTACTAAACTTGCAGCATGGACATATACTCTCTGAGCTAAGCGATTTCAAGATAGTAGTAGAAACCCGCACTACCTACATGGGAAAAGTCCAATATTGTATATGTGTTCATGGTCTTTAAAGTCTCATAATCGGGAATTGAGGGAATTAGTGCCTCTATCGCTAATACAAGCTGTGTCCATTATGCAGATATGATGCCAGGTTATATATCCAGTGGATCATGAGTAAAGATATGAGCAGCTACTGAACTATTTGACATTGGCTGTACAAGCGTCCCATTGTGTGTAAGTCATAATCCGCAATTTGATCCCGATGGGAGTAATGTTTCGGAAGTAGTATACTATACATCTATTCTAATCACATCATAGGTTATGTATGCTTACCTATGATACATCCAGGTCAGCCTTCAATGTACTACATAATACGTAGATACTGCAAAGTTAGCTAGAACAGACAATACTCTGGCCTACTTACTATATTGATTCCAGAGCTGTACGGTATGAACCCAATGGTCCGAGGAAGAAAGATATTGACATCCTCCATTTCGTTACTATTTTCGTTCCTATTGTCCGCACAATGGTCTCATCCAAGGTACAAAATGCCCTCACACCGGTGAGCGAACGTGCGTGTCTCACGCTATCCCACCAATACCGGGAAAGCTGAAGCTAAATCAGCGACAAGTACCTATTATTAAGTACCAAAAATATGAGGGTCTCCACTGAGTAGTATCCCCACTCGTAGCTGAAGCAAAGCCTTTCTTCATTTCCAGACGAGGAGTAGTCATTGAAGAAGCAGCAAGTGCAGGAATAATTGCAACACAGTGAGTGAATAATGGCTTCGCATAGCGAATGAAGTTGCAAGTCCAATCCACGGACAACATCAGATCACGCAATGGTATGATATCGACTTATCATCGCCAGACCTGATCAGTTCATGAAGAGGGTTCCGGTTCCTCAATCCTTCTATTCCCGAAACCCATGGACCCCGCAGTGGGTCGAGATAGGAATATTTGTCTGAGATAATCCCGTGCGCGGCACCTCAAGTCTCATTCAATGCTCTGGGCGTAAGTTCACGGTCCGGCGAGCATTGGGCAAATCAATCAGCATGTTGGATGGAGAATGGAAGGATCCTTGATCTCAGCCAGCCCTCGATCATTAGAGCTCCACTTGCTGATCACCTTGGATGTTGTCAAGAATTGGAGATAAGAGCCAGGCAAGTGCAAGGGTTGTAGTTAGTATCTGTATCTGGCTTCGTCTTTATCAATAATAGATTTCGAGTTTTATTTCCCTTTTTTTCCTTTCCAATTTCCATCCAGCCACCAGACAAACTCGGTGTGGATTCAGAGTCGGCAGACAATCGGTAGGCCACCGCCCCTCTTCACAGGGCGACTGCAGTAAGCACGAAGTGAGAACGCTTAAAAACCAAGGTCACCAAGAACAAATGGATTTCCTACCGGGCAACACAAACCCCGCTTGGTGGCTTTCCAGTTGCAGCGACATGCAGATTCCGCTAACTAGCTTAACCTCTTCTTTTTGGCCCGAGAATCATGTTGCCGCAGTTACACCACTTATTCCTTTTCGTTTCCGCTTTCTTTTCTTTTTTACTCTCTCGTACACTTCTTACTGTACGAGTTCTTGGGTGCTCCACTGGTTCTTTTTAGTGACTAATGATGGATAGAAACTAGATGGTTAAGGAACTTCCGATCGGGGTAACAAACGGAAAATCATACTTGGCGGGAAGGTCTCACTGCTGGTAATGTCTTAGTACTTGGTGGTGGTGGTGGTGGTAAATGATGGTGGTAGTGAGGGAGATACGACATCCAGTCAGATGACCGTTCCTGGCACAGGCACACGAACCACATCAGATCAGTAGTAGTAGTAGAAATCATAACCCACGCGCACCAAGCAAAAGGAACAACAACATTAAAAACAGAAAAGACCAGACAAGATAGTGCGGAGTACCCTGTACCCATGTGCCCCCTTTCAAGGTAGTATCTCTCTTTATCTCCCCCTACCGTGCAGCTTGCAGGGAAAAAAAAAAACAAACGCAATGTATCGTTAAACGGCTTATTATGCCAGGACAGATCAGAGGGTCACTCGGTGTTTCAGGTATATCCCGGTTACAATGCTTGCAAGAACATGCAGTAGGTGAATACTTAAATGCAGAGTGATGTGTCCTGCTTAGCTCGATCAACTAGAGGAACTAGTAAAGGAATAAGAATTTCAGGCATCAAGGCCCTACCAGTTTTATTAACAAGTATAATATTTTCTCTAGTTATAGGAAGGAGAAGGGGATCTCAATCTCGGCCGCAGAAACCAAAATGGCGGGCGGGCCGGGAAATTTCCAGTCTTCTGTGACCAATCATGGATTTATAGGCTATTCTGGTGAGGAAGACTTTGCTATGGTGGTTCTTTATCCCTTGCTTTCATGTTTTGACTTTTAATGTGTTGTTATTCTTTTTGAGGGGCACCATTTTGGTGATAAGCCGGTAAGTAGTATGCGCCCGAATGATAATGCGGGATTTAGTTGGTCTCAAAGGGGACGAGGGAGAATGATTGGCTTGGGTCGGTTCCTACCCTTTTGAGGAGGTTCGGATATAAAGCCCAGGCTGACTAGTTACTACCGTCTCACTAGTTAGTAGTCATAGGTGTAGCGATACTACTATATAATCTAGCCCCTGGATGGTTGCGACCGGACCAAAGAGGGTACGCTGGTGAAGTACGGAGTCCGGAGTAATTGCCCCTAGTTTCTGCCTAAAAGTACGATGTCTGAACCCAGAGATAACACCAGGGGAGGGAAGATCTGGGTTGACAATGAGGCGCCGTTTCCGATGACTGTCCGAAGGAGCCATGTCCGCAATGATGAACTCTTACTATTCCTTACTAGCTTGAAACTATGGAGTACTACTTTGTAATACTAGCAGTCTAGGTGTAAAGGCCACCTGACATGTTTGCGTGCGAGGGATCCATGGCATGGCTAGACTACAGTAGACTAGACGGTGCTTCGGTGCTGCCCACTAGTGACTAACTACTGTATGTACTCCACACTCTGGGTTCCCCGGATATAAGGGATTCACCGTTTGAGGCGGGATTGGATGATTCAAGCGCGCTTTGCTCGTGCTAGGCTGATAGTCCCTAGCAATTGGCCCATAACCATCAATAGTGTAGTAGAGAGTGTTTATTTGGTGAATCAGATGGTTCAACCTCTCACCTAGGTGAGTATGTTGGGTCTTATAGGCTATTCAATGTCTTGCAGACACTCAACCACTGCAGTCATCGAGAAAGAATCCGTTAGTAGGAAGCTCGTCCATCATCTCCATGGAGGAGTCAGCATCTGCCACTCCGTTTGCGTCGTAGCTACCAGCATGTCCGTGCCAGGTTACTCCCCATGTTTCAACGCTCCTGGGCTATATATAATAGAGAGGACCGTGCGGTTGGGCCATCCAATGGCAGGAACCTTGTCAGGATATCTGGCTTTTTGGACCTAAATCTCTCAACTCCGCATTTTCGCTGTCCCCGCTATTGAGATACACGTCAACGTGAGCTAGTCGAAAGCGCCACTGATTTAACACAACGGTTGACCATGACGCCGCTTGGGGTAACTGACAGCCGTTGACATGGTACGGAGTGGTGCAAATAAGCATTAGGCAAACCAATGGTCAGGCACCCCGCGTAGGTTGGTCGGTCCGTTCGATGGCGTTCAGGCCAGCCATTGCAATCCCTTGACAAGTTTGTATTCTATTATCATTAGCTAATTAATTTGTGGCATCATGATGGGTCTATGACATGCGATCCTTTCGGCCTTTGCTCGGATGTTCGGATAAGCATCCCAGCATCCAGGGACAACAAGCAAATATACTATCAGTGTTAGTAGCACAACGGCACAGTATTTGACCCAGCTTTCGACAGTTCGGCATTCGTATGAACCTGGTTCCGACTGATAGATAGTCGGGTTAAAACGGTGGAACCGCGGTTGACGTCCGATGCTACGGAGGACACTCTCCGCAACGTATGATGTTCGTCTGGTTAATGTGTAGTAGTGTGTATAATTCGGACCCAAGAATATCCACTTTTTATTTCTTTTCGTACTTTGCAATTCGATGAGCATTCAGGCAACATGCTATCGAGTCAATGCATAAATTCTCAAAATTGCTTTCCCACTTTAAATATTTCTTTCTCGCCGAGGTACGGAGTACTCTGCGATAGTGGATCCTGGAGAAATTGCATTGAGAAGAGGAGCTGAAATTGATGCTTCCTGACTTGCTGACTCGTCAAATTCAAACTTGGCCCAGGATCCATGGTTTATGCAGTGGATTGGAAACCACGCGAATGAGTATCGCCCGTGCTTGCCAACTGCGGCATCGGAACATACTACTACTACTGTCGTGAATTAACGAACTGATCTGAATACGGCAGAACGTTCCCTCTTCCTTCGCCTCTGCAAAATGGAAGGATGGATGATACTAGAAGCAAGTAACTCCGTATATCAGTACGCCAACCATGATTCAGACTGCAGGATAGGCGATGATATGCGCCCGCCGGAGCCCGTCTGTCAAGTTAGCATGGAAGTGACGCGGTTGGAAGGCAAAGCCCCGAATAAGATGTTGAGATGGCGACGTTGCTTGTCGATCACGCGGGAACTCCTTACAGGGGATCTGCGATGGCACTAAACCGGGGATAGACGATAGATGGAGGATATATCCACTTCCTGGGAAACTTGCAGCTCAGGCCCCGTCTTTCTCGCGATGACCGTTGAAAATCGACGCCAGTCAAGCGATGGCAGTTGCCTTTCTGTTTTTGAAACAGTCAGACTGAAATTGTAGATGATCTTGACAAGCTGGTAGCGAAGGGGCGGAATGTGGATGACAATTTGTGCCTTAGTACTTAGTAATGGTGGGCCTTTCCACTAAGTACAATCTCCGCATGCACCACCGAGTCAAACCGCGCCCGCGACTTATCGGCCGGCTTGATGTACCGTCCTCATCATCCGTCCATCTAGATAACCATTTGGCGCCTGTGTGGTTTTGGGCCGTAGCTTACACACCCAACACGTTGCGATAGACAGTGACCCAACCTAATGGAAACTGTATGTAGGCGGTCACTCTCTGAGTGAGACCAGTCAGGCAGGGTTGCTCACCGACAGTCGTAAGTAGGTTGGAATACGGTGGATGGGATCCCTTGTGGCTAAGCTATTGAATCTTTTGCGCTCTCCTCGCTTCGCCATCTTTACGTTTAGCAAATCTTCATAGTTTCAGCTTGCATGCTTATTGATTATATACGAAGTATAAGTACGCTAAGCCCACGATTATCGTGGTGTTTTGGAGGGTAGGCACTACCGAAATATATGCAACTAGGATTCGAGTGCATTGACCGATTCCAGAACCCCCCGAAGGATATAGCGCATACTTACCGACCTGCGGCATCAATATTTTGTAGTACTAGTGAGAAGTATGATAGAATAGAGCTTTTCGCTTTCTCTTTTTTGTGCTAACGGGTACCGTTGCTTGACCAGGTCAATCCTCCGTCGTGTTGTTTCAGCAATCTTCAGTAGTAAGCACAATCACCAAGATCCATCATCATGATGATATATCTTCAAAGCGGGGAGAAACCGCAAACCGTGTCACTGGAAGCAAACTGGTATGTCAAATACTGGGCATTGCATTGCACTGCATCAATAGTCCAAATTCTAATCTGAAGATTGACTGTACATCAGTCTCGTTTGCAATTGACCCGGCATCTCAGATCACTCAGATCCAATTCAAGTCTATTGCGCTCTCCCCGCGCACCCAACTGGAGGACACACACATTTTTTCTTGGCTATAGCTTGTAGCTGACAAACAGGTGGCCATAGGGTTTGAGGAACCAGCACAACATATCCTCCGCACTGCTGTAGATGGATTCTGAATCGGTCTCAGGGATGAGAGGATGCGTTATCAGTCTCGAGTATCATCGCTGACATCATGTACACAACCGTAGTAAGAGATTGAATAAGGTTCTCATCCATTGATTCGGGAGTCTGAACCTTTCCATGGTACACAACCGGGAGCTGAGAGAGAGTGTGTCGGAGGCTGCGACAAAACTCCGTGGATACCGGTCACTTCAACTTCAACGGCATTGAGGGGGACACGGACCGTGGCTATCGATTAGGTTACTCTTGGTGGAACAATCTGAACCGCGGAATCCCTCACGGGAAGATTCCACTGGTTGGTTAGAGATCAGCATTCCCTGAGTCGGGACATGGCCAGGAGAGTTTTCCTGTCACTGGTAATGTAGGAAAATAAAAGATTCAATCATTAGTCTGATACATGTACTCCATACACGGTCCATAGAAACTATTAGTCTAGGTAGGGTTGGGAAATTGGGGATTGGCAAATCCCCCTCAATGTTTCGTCATGCTTTGTGCGTTGGGCAAAGAATCTGGGGTGGGCGATAATCCTGGCTAAGATCATTGCAGGATAATCGTCGAAAATCTTGACTCGTATCATCAGGAGACTGGAGAAGAGACTGGAGTTTGGTAGAATCAACTTGGCAACCTTTTTGTTGTTGCAGTCTTGGCATCGCGTTATCCTTGGATAAGAAGGATAATAATAATGACATTAATCGGTATTATTGGCAAACGCGATCGCCTAGTCATCCGTGGTGCCAGCGGCCGAGGTACCAATGTTAGTTACCTAGCGACTGTTACTACTACTTAAGTAGTCAAATATTACAAAAGTAACTACTAGTACTGTGGTATAGTGTTAGCTAAGTGCTACTAGTTACTGGCTCTCCACAGGCTGTTTCTCCGAGCTTCCGTGCTTGGGTTCAGTTCCTTGGAGGTAGACTCCATTTGGTAGTCATGGCGTGACAGCTAAGAAATTTAGCAGGCGTGTGGTCGCAAATCAGCTTCCAATTTGTTCGTCCGATTGGACTATTCAGGTTACTAGACAATACTAATTGGTTCCAGTTGATTATGGTCTTATGCATTCAGCACGTTCTGTTGTTCTTCAGTAATTAATACTCTCTGGGTATCAATTATCGATTCCTGCCGCACACCAAAGATCTGAAGAAAGCACTGCACTGAACTTACCCAAAAGTAGAAAATAAAAGATAAAAAGGAAAAGGAAAAAAGAAAAGAGATAAGGAGGCGGCTCTCTACTTCTCTACTATTGCGCGTACTCGGCAGTTGATCACTAATACCAACCATTACAGAGATCTGGTAATGTAAGTAGGAGGAGGTCCAGCTACTTTCTTTACTACAACGTACTCTCCGTGTCGGAGGGCCAAATCCCCCACAACGAACATCTCCTATCAAACGAGGGAAAGATGGGCCGATGAGGCGAATGCAAAGACATCTTCAGTCAGCCAGACCCGCACATCGTTTATCCAAGTTCTCAAGTAGCGTCGCCTTCGATTACCTCGCAAGGATGGAGCCGGGTTTGGCCATTGTAGGGGGGGGAATGGTTGACCCGCTCCTAACGTAATATGGAGGTATTATTGGGGACGAATCGTATGTGCGGTACGATGGTTACCGAATGGCAACAACGGCCGCAGAACTACAACCCGCTAGTTTCCCAGCCTAACTTTAGTACCAGTTACCAATATGGAACCGGACTTACCGTACAGCCCCAAAGGTGTCTTAGTCTCACCCGCCTAGCTGGTCGAATCAGAGTGGTTGACTGATGCAGAAGGGGAGAAAAAGAGAAAAGAAAGAGTGGAAAGAGATTCAGGAGACGTTCGAACATTTAATCTACCTGATAATATTAGCTTCGATGATACGATAAGTGAAGGGAGGGACACCCTCTCGAACCGAGCAAGAATGCTCGTTTATCATAATTCCCCCCATTCCTTGTCTTTCAAGAAATTACTCAAAATAATAATTGTATGATGAAAGATATGATTATGGCGAGTTCTCCTGGTATTTTCTGGTATGACTCGCAGCTGCAATAAGAGTCATCGTAGAATACCTCACCCCTACTTGGATGTGAGCTTTTTGAGATCAGATCAGAGTCTTCAAAAGATTTTCTTATGCGTACGTTGCATACTACGTCCATACAATACACTTCCATCGGGTTTCCCCTCGTGGATTTTTAATCGGGCGCCCCTCCAAATTGATCTCTTTACTTTTTCTGCTCCTTGTCGGTTCAACGAATTTAGATTGAACAAGAAAGCGAACGTGAGAAAGGCGAACAAAATAGAAAAAGAATTAAATACACATGGACGATTTTTAAGGATCATCACTGGATTGAACAAAAAGCGACATACGAAGGAAAGAAGAAAAAAGAATAAAAAAAAATTAGAAAGAAAAGTAATAAATCAAGAAATACTAACCAAAGAATCGAAAAGTAAAAAGGAAATACAGGGCACGGTTCGGGAGGGTGTGTGCCTGGCGTTCCTTCTCGCGTTCTCTGGAAAATCCCGTCCGCTTGTCTCCGCCTGTCAAGTCAGTCGGTCTCCCCTAAAGTTGAGAGCGAAAGAGAGAGAGAGTGAGAAAGTTGTAGTCGCAGCATCCCATCATTCCCTCCCCTCTCTCTCTCAACTCTCCCCCATTATCTCTCCCTCCTCCCTATTCTATTCCCTTTCCCCTTCTACTCCCTCCCACACCTTCAGCCCCTCTTGCTCTTCTTCCCTTATTTTTTTTCCTTTTCCGACCCATCCTCTCTGCTTTTCTTTTCCCATCCTTCCCGGCTCTCACCATCCCTCCCTCCTCCCCTCCCCCCTGAGCGGCCCGTCTTCTGCTTGATTCAGAAGACAAGGTGCCTAGGATCTGGTTATCGTTTCCTTCTCGATCTCCTATTTGGTTTTGGCATTGTTCCCTTCTTGTCTCTATTCAACATTGTTTGTTAGCTCTGCTTTTTCCCTCTTCTCTTTTCTTTTCTTGTACATGGCTCGACCGCTCTAGACAGCTTCTGCCATCCCTGGAGCCTTGTATTCCGCACGTCGTACCTCGTCGCCAGCTCTCCTCCCTCTTCGATCGCCTGATCCCGAGCCTTTCGTTTCTTTTGTCCTCGTCAGCATTCGTTTTTTACATCGACAGAACGCTTTTCCTTAATTGTTGTATCAGTATAATTCGGTGGGGGCATATTACTGCGAAACAGGTACGACCCCATTCCGCCGCTTGCCTTTGCACACCCCCCTTTCGAAACGGCAACCACATTCGCGTTGGAGAAACATCGGTCCTCGAGAGTTCAGCTAGCCTTTGAACCGGCTTGTTCTTGTGCAATCCAAAACTGACAACTGTTTGTAGTACAGACTTTCCCCCTGTTGCCTTCTTACAATCTGTCTCCTTTTTCTACC